CCCACGGTGAGACCAATCTTGACCGATACACGAAGGAGAAATAATACAAACAGGGTGGGGGGGAGGGCCGGTTGATCTCGGTAGCCAAAGGCTATGTCAGGAGACAGGGGTGGCGACAGGACGCGATCAACAAACATTTCTGCGCACGCACTCCAATGTTTAGTCTCTCACACAGCGGTGGATGCGTCTCGAGTCTCACAGGCAGCGTCTACGCGCAGCCGCTGCCAGTAGTCCCGAACCATTCCGTACCAGATGTTCTCAGGATTAGAAAGCGGGTGAAACCAGGGCACGAAACGGGGAGACATAAGATCCGAGCACACACAGTCAGCACCCGCGAAACCTGGATCTGGCGGGGGCTAGGAGGGCAAACGCTAAATCGCCGGCCAGGGTGTGGGGATATTCTGCGGCAGTAGCAGTCCAGTGATTTCCCGTTTCAGACTTCCCTGAAAGGTGCCAGTGCGCTTTCCCCGTGCGTGAGCACAGGCCTCTTCGGGCCCTACAATGCTCACTCAACCTGTTGCAGCCATCAGCACAAATGTTGCCACGAAAAACTTGATTCTCTTCCTCCATCGCGCGCCGTATTGGCACTGGCCACGCACTACTTCGACATGCCACACTAGACCTAGCAGCTCGCGAAGGGCGGGGGTCTACAGGCGCGCGAACTACCTGGATTCTCGAGTGTCCAAGGGACCCCGTGGGATATGCATGCGCGGATGAGCTGAGCGCTGGCCTTGAGAAGGGCGCCCCCGTGATCCACGCGGGCCTGAAGGTGAGGGGGCAGACCTGGCAGTCCCTTTGGGCCAAGCTCCGACCTGAGACGGCCCGCCTAGGCTATCGAAAAAGATGCACGCGGCAACGCAATCACCGACCCTGCGACCTTCCCAGCTCGGACGCCCGAACGCAGCTTTACCAACGGAAGCCGATGCAAGATATCAAAACCTTTCCTAACCTCGAGCTCTCTGCAAGCGCACCCTTGCTGACGGATGGCATTCGCCACTCCGCCAGTCCCTGGGAGATCGTCCATGTACCATTGGCCACGTGAGTCGTCTAGCTGCAACGCGCTACGACCTTGCTCCGTAGGATGACATCCTGCAGCTGTCGCTCGCATTCCTGAAAGTGCTGGCTGCGGCCCGAGGCAACCCGCAGCTGGCTGCGACGGGGCCGCGCCTGCTTCTCGTACCTCATCGCGCTGCTGTCCGCCTTCCACCCTCCTCGCTGCTTCACTTCGCTGAAGGTCCTCCACTGGTTTTCTCGATCGATCACTGCCCCCGAGTGACGGGCCTGGTAGGGCATCACCGTCACCCCCAGCGCCTTCCCACACTCGTCGGAAATCCCGAAGTACTCCCAGTAGCTGAACCCCCAGACCGCCCTCCGAGACGTCTGACCGGCCAAGGTATGCAGGAGAGGCCGAATAAACCTGAGCCAGGAGCTGTCTAACATCATCGAGGTGTCGAGCTCGCCTATCTTGTCGGGCACTCCCCTCTCCGCCGGATGGACAGGCAGGCCCCAGGAACCGTTGGCTGACTTCGGCGCCAGGAAGCTCTCGGGCCCCAGCGCAAGCAGGCTGCTTGGACGCAGGTAAGTGCTCACTGAGAGCAACGCGAACAGCTCCATACGCGCCTCCCCGCGCTTCACCATCTCGTTGGCCATGCCAGCCCAGAGACAGAGTGGTTCGGGCCGGCACGACCTCCCCGGGGCCAGCCGCCACCAGCCCTTGAGAGCTCACCAGGCCCTTGGGGCGCGGCGGTCGCCGAGCCGGCCAAACCGCGGCTCCGCGCGCATCAGCGCGGCCATCAGCTTGGCCCCGCGGCGGGCCTGCTCCCCCAGGAAGAAGTCCCGGTCGAACAGGCGCACCAGCGACTCGTCGACCTCCACGTCGTTCAAGCCCTTGAGGTCGCTGATCCCGCTGAAAGCCCTCCACCGGTCCAGCTCGGCCAGCACTGTCGGCGCGTCGGCTCCTGCACGGCCCGCTGCTCGAGCAGGCTGCTCCCCGTGTTCAGCAGCTCGTGCGCCTCCGACACGTAGTTCAACGCCCGCCGTCGGCGACGCCGACGGAGCGCTCGCTCTCTGCTCGCGGCCGGAGGCTCGGTGCCCTCGGACGTAGTCCCAGTGCTGCTGGAGCTGCTTTGCTGGGCAGCGGCCCGACCTGACGCTGCGGCGCGCGGGGTGTCGAGGGGGCCCTGTTCCTGCTCCAGCGGCGTCTCCAGCGTCGGTTGGGCTGGCCTCGCCCCCGACTCCCAGCCTCGGGGTGGACCAGCTCCTGGCAGCAGCCGCGCGCGACCCAGCCTCGGCCGCTCCGCCGCCCGCTGGGTCGCGCCCAGCCCCCTCTTCCGCTTCGCGAGGCCCGCGGCCTTCGAAGGCGGAGCGGCGAAGGGCGCCGCCAGCGTCCGGCGTCGCATCAGCAGCCCAGGGCCGGCAAACGGCCGGCCATGGCCCGCTCTCGCTGTCTGAAGCACGGATGGGCCCAACTGAATCTCGAGTGTTTCCCGAAGGGCCACGCGGCCCGCTAGCTTGAGACAACGAGGCTACGCGATTCGGCGGTGGCGGACACTCAGGTAGCAACGAGAAGGAGGGGGGGAACAGTAGCCTTGTCTGGGGCACACCTCTTGTCGCGGGCCTGCGCTCCATCGACCACTGAACGGCCCTCCCCCCGAGGCGCGGGCGCCGACCCCTTTGAAAGGGTCGCGCATCCGAGGAGGACCGTCGGCGCTATTGAGCTCTGACGGCATCCACCGCACAACCGCATGTATGTGCTTGGCAAGGCAGTAGCTACAGGAACGACGCACTTGAGTAAGCAAGAGATAGTCTCTTCCCCGACATCTATCGAAAGCTAGACATGCCGCCTTGTTATCTACCAGTAACAACTGCCGAAGGTTCCGCCCGACGGTGAGGAGAACCATCATGCGGAGATTCATCGCGAGGGCGCGGGCTTCGAGGTGCACGGCCCCTTGTTTCCAACGCCAGGGCCCCCCCAAAGGTCGGGCTCCACAACTGCGGGTCCAAACCGACCCGGGGAACTTCCACAAACTCGGGGTCGAGGTCCCGGACGCCTGGGGCAGCGCCGCCCTCGCACCTAGAGATCCTCCATCTCCTAAAACACTCTCGGCACGGCTCAGCAGGACCTCAGGGGTTCCTCCGACGTGATCCTCCCCCAGGGCTGACGCACGGGCATTGACAGCTTCGGGCGCCAAGGACCTGTCCCTCTCGTGACGCCGACCAGTCTCTTGAACAAGCTCAAGGGGCCACCGCGCCACGGTGCCGACGAAGCCGCATTCCGAACCAGCCGACGCAACGACGAGCTTATTCCAAGGTTGTGACCAATCACTGCAAAGAAACACGATCAAGCCAGATAACACCCGAAGCTCCTCAATCACACTTGGCCACAGAGGTTTCACATGGATGTAGTTTTTCAAAACGAAAGCGTTGCAGGCGTGGAGGCAGGCCAGCACGGGCCGCCGCAAAATCGCCAGGAACGCGAGATGTTCCAGCAACGCCTCCAGCGCACTGCCCGTGCAGCGCCCGCGCTGGAGCAGCCCCGCGATGGCCTGCCAGGCCCTCGGCCGCCCCCCTGCCCGACGCGCGGGTCTGCATCAGCCGCCCGTCGATCTCCACGCCGAGCACCTCCGTGGCCACAGAGGTGACGGATTGCTCGTGAACCAAAAACCCCTTCTGGGTGAAAGCGTCGGTCACGCCTTCGAGCGTCTTCGCAACTCTGGCTCTGTCCGTTCCCAGCGCGCCAATGTTGTCGACGTAGGTGCGGTGTCGGAGGGGCCCTGCTGCTCGCCGCCCAGCAACAGCGGCCGCCCGCGATCCCGCAGCAGAGGGTCCACGCCGAGGGGCCCGACACTTCCCGCAAGCTCCACTCCCGACACCTGGCACTACAACAGGCCCCACGAGAAACCAATCGGGAAGGCCACTGGGCAGGGCCAGACCTGCTCGTTGCCCGTCAGCACTTGCCCCATCCACCGTCTTGCCTGCGAGCCCCGGGGCTCCGCCCCGCGCTGGGGAGAAGCAGAAGTAGCGTCGCAAGAACAGGGGAATCCGCAATCGGTGGAAGGCGTCTCTCACGTCCGCAATCCCCACCGTGACGGACAGGCCCTCGCAAAGCTCGACCACCAGCTCGTTCTCGGGCTTCTCGCCGACGTCCAGGTCGAGCTCGACGCCGCTCGAGCCCTCCGCGGTGATCAGGCCCGCGCTGGGTGGCCGCATGAAGCGCTGGTTGGAGCGCCGAGCATCAAGGATGAGTCGCTGGCGTTCGCGGCCTTTCTTCCACGCGCAGAAGATGCAAAACCACCTCGAGCGGCGCCAGCGTGAAGTCGAGAAGGCCCGGCGCCATCGGGCCCTGCACAAAGGGTAGCGTGCGCGGTCTTGTGGTTCACCGCGGCGGGGTCGCAATGTCACTGCGCGCCGTCGCGCGCGAGGAAGGCCTCGGCCTCGCCGACGGACTTAAGCATGCGCTCGCCCTCCCGCTCCAAGAACTAGTGGCCCCGCTTGCCGCAGACGTCGCCGATGACAGGAGAGCCCCCCGCCGTCTCGGGGAGGGGCAGCCAGCCTTGTTAGAAGGGCGCCACTGAGTCGTTGGCCGCCCCCGCGCCACGCAGGGAACGGCCGCGCAGCAACTCCCTCAGGGCCACTTGCGCTCAAGGGGCGTCGAGGCCACGGCGCGCGCGCTGCTCGCCCTGGGCCAGCCCACGCACGTGCTGCCTCACGTCCCGCTGCATATCATCACACTCCGGCTGCGCCTCGTGCCCGAGCTCGAAGCCATGCATCCAAGTAAGCGCCCGTTGGGCATTGTCAACCCGTTCACACTCTCGGGTGCGGGCGGTGTTCAGCTCGTTCTCGCCCTTCGCCTCGTTGATGCCCCACTGCCGCAGAGCCGGCGACGCGCTGCCCAGCGCGCCGCCAACTCCCTCGCAGTGGTGGCCCATGCGCCAGGAGGGCCCCCCCGTCCCGTAGGCGCCCACGATCGAGGAGATCCGACGGCTGATGCGCTCGAAACGCTACAACGCTGGCATATTCAGCTGGTTCAAAGTCCCTCCGATGTACACTACCTCGATCAGATTACGAAGCTCGTGATACACCCTGTCGCTCTTCTCAATCCGACGATCCCTGCAGAAGTCTGCCAGCCACATCTTGGGTTTGCCCCCGTCCCGAGCCGCCTGGTTCATCCAGCGCAGCAGCGACGCCGGCCCCTCAACACGCCCATCACTCCAGCTCTCGGTCCGACACTCCAGAAACACCTGTCGCCACTCCTTAAGCCTCTCGCCACGAGGATCATAGTCCACCCGCAGGGTGCGACACTCGTCGGGCGCCTGCCCAGTGCCATCCTCGCGAGGTGTGTCCGTGCCCTTGCCGCCCGTCTCCACTTCGACCACCGCTGGCGGCCGGGCCGATGCTGAAGCCTGATCGAGCACCTGGCGCGCGCTTGAGTCGGCCTCCGTCCGCTTGACCAGGATGCACTTCACAAAGAGCCCGCCATCGCACTGCTTCATCATCGTCTGCTCGCTCACGCCGACGTCGACGCCCTCGACGGGCTCAACATCGAAGCCCACTGCGTCGGGTCCCTCGCAGCCGTGCACGATCCAGCATAATCCAGGCGGCGCTCGCCTGAAGGGGCGAACGACGGCCCCCGCGGCACCGCCAGTAGGTTCCAACGGCACCAGGGCAGCATCCATGTCCCTGAGCGCGCCAGCCGGCAGCGCCACCGCGCTCCCCGTGCTGTCCACGAAGTCTGTGGGCGGCGGCTGCGGGGTGCCCGCGTGCGCCTGCGCGCGGAAGTGCTCGACGCCCTTCCTCGCCAGCTGCTCGTCCGTGGGGTACTCCGTAAACCTGTGGAAATTGAGCCGCACCAGACGGGGAGGCGAGCAATCCAGCCCGAGCATGCAGAGCCGATGTGGCCCTGGCTGGCTGCCGTCCAACGCCTCCTCGTATTCGTTGCCGCCGGGGGTCATCACGCGCCAGTTCCAGCCAGGCAGCGCCCCGAGCTCCTCAGCGCTCGACCCGATCAGCAGCCGCTCGTGTCACAACGGGTTCCCCTCGTACTTCGCGGCCACCAGCAGACCAGGCGTGAGCCTAGGCAGTGTGGCCTCTTCGGTGCCGGCGCCGCCTGTCTCCGTCACCAGGCGAGCATTCCTCCGGAGCAGCGCCATCGCGCCGGCGCCTCTGCCACCAGCCGCGCAGCTGCAGCCCGAACGACACACAGCCCAGCGCCCAGCCCAACCACCGGCCCTCTAGCGACTCGCGCTCCAGACACACGCACACGCACCCAGCTGGCACGGCGTGCGAGCCGGTCTCCCGTGGCTCGGGCTCGCTGGAGTTCCCACCGCCAGGTGGGGGCCACGGCCCGCCGCCCTGGCAGGCCCCGAGCTCGCTGACCGTGTCCGCCACGATCTCGCGCACACTCGGGCCCTCGGGCGCAGGCGGCGCGGGCCACTCGGCCTCGGGCGCCAGCCGCCGCACCTCAGGCATGCTCGCTAGAAGCACGAGCACGGCCCACTGCCAGTGGGCCGGACTCGGGCTGAGCATCCAGCGGCCGGCCTCCCCGCTCCTTGGTTGATCTCTGGAGCCAATGGCTATGTCAGGAGACAGGGGGAGCGACAGGACGTGATCAACAAACGTTTCTGCGCACGCACTCCCAGGCCGTCCTGAACGCCTCTTGGACCGTCTTGGGGGCCTCTTTGGCCTTTAGAGCTATGTCCCCCTGGACCATTCTCGAGAGGGTTTCGCCCCAGCTCAACGTCATCACTCGTGCTCTTTCCGCCACCCGCTTGGCATGGGGACGGAAAGCGCGGTGGCTTTCTGTAAGGGAGTGCAAACGCTTTACTAACATTTGTGGTCAACACCCTCCGGCAGTCAATGCGTGCGGTTTCTCGGTGCTGTCGTGGCGGTTATTTCAATGCTCGTATGGCCCGTCTGGCTCTTTGGGGGCCGTCCGGGGACCCTCTTGGACCATGTCTGGGGGCTTGGTTCGGCCGTCTTGGGGGGTCTTGGGGCCATCTAGAGCCCTCTCGGGGACCTCCTGTAGCCTTCTTCGGGCTCTTTTGGGAACCTTTCGGGGCCCTCAAGGGCCTCTCTGGGACCGTCTTGGGGCTCTTTGGGGCCGTCTCGGAGCCCACTTGGGCCGTCGGGGGCCGTCTTGAAGGCCTCTTGTGCTGTCATGGGGCGATCCTGGGGGCCTCTTGGGCCGTCGTGGATGTTTTCAAAACCAAATGACGTTGTCCTACGGGAATGTGACGATTTGTAACTCTTGGGCGTCCTTTTGGAGGCTTCGTGAAGCGTCTTGGGGGCCTCTGTGGTCGTTTTGAAACAATGTTGGGACTTCTTTGAGCGCTCTTGGACCCGATTGGGGCCCTCTTGGGCCTCCCGCTCTAAAGGCTGTCTTGGGCCGTCCTGGGGCCCTTTGAGGAGCCCTTGCATGGGAACGGACAGAGCGCGTCAAAAGCTTACCCGAGTTGGCTCATCGCACACGGCGAGCATCCAAACATTTTAGAAGAAACGCAAGGAAATCAATGTTGTTGGCCTCCTCAGCGTCCTGCTGGGGCCTTGTTGGGCCCTCTTGGGGCCCTCTTGGGCCGTCCTGCGGCCCCTCTTGGCCGTCTTGGAGCGTCTTGGATGCCGTTGGCCGTCTTGGGGTTCTCTTGAGAGCCTCCTGGGGCCCTCTTCGGAGCCTCCTGGGTACTCTTGGGGCCTCTCTTGGGCCGTCCTGGGGCTCTCTTGGGCCGTCTTGGAGCCCTATTGGGCCGTCTTAGAGCCGTCGTTAGACCGTCCTGGAAGCCTCTTGTGCCGTCGTGGGGCGACCTTGGGGGCCTCTTGGGCCGTCGTGGGCGATGTTCAGACTAAGGGAAGGATATGCTGAAAATGCAAGTGTCTCAATGCATCCTTTGGGAGGCTTCGTGGAGCGTCTCGAGGACGGCCATCTTGGGCCCTCTTGGCGCGCTCTTGGGCCCGATTGGCGCCCTCTTGCGCCTCCCCGAGGCCGTCTTGGAGATATGTTTGGCGCTCTGGGGCTGTCTTGGGCCGTCTTGGGGCCCTCTGAGGCGATCTCGGAGCCCTTGGGCTGTCTAGGGTCGAACATGTCTAAACATTTGACGTTAAACCTGGGCCGGCACGGGAACGGAAAGAGCGTGTCAGAAGCTTACCCGAGATGGCTCATGGCACCGTTCGCTCTTGGTGAGCATCCAAACATTCTAGCAACAACCTAAGGACAATCAATATTGTTGGCCTCCTCAGCGTCCTGTTGGGGCCCTGCTGGGCCCTCTTGGGGCCCTCTTGGGCCGTCCTGGGCCCCTTTTTGACAGTCTTGGAGCGTCTTGGAGGCCTTTGGGGGCTCTCTTGGGAGCCTCCTGGGGCACTCTTGAGAGCCTCCTGGGGCCCTCAAGGGGCTCTCTTGGGAGTCTCTTGGGGTACTCTTGGGGCACTCTTGGACTGTCTTGGGGCCCTCGTGGGGGGCCCTGGGGCCGTCTTGGGACGATCATTGGAGCCTCTTGGGCCGTTCTTGGCTCGAAAAGGCGAGAATCCTACAAACCTCCAAAACCTTAAAGAAAACAATGAAATGTGCATCTGTGGGCCACCTCCTGGGCAGTCCTGGAGCCATCTTGGACCGTCTTGAGGCCATCTTAGGGCATCTTCGAACGCTCTGGGGCGGCCTTCGGCTCTCTTGGAGCGCTCTTGGGCCGTCTTGGAGCCTTCTTGGCCATCTTGGGCGCCTCTTGGGCCGGCGAGGACGCCTCTGGAGCCCTCTTGGGGGCCTCTTTGGGTGGTGGTGGGCGTGTTATACAACTGTCCCCGACCATCGCCCCTCCCCTGGACCCCTCCCGAGAGTGCTTCGCCTCATAGGAACGTCATCACTCGTACCTCGCTCTTTCGGTCACCTGCTTGGCACGGGGACGGAGAGCGCTCATACTCTTTTTGAGGGCGCGAGATCGCTTGCTCAGTGCCTTGGAGCTCTCTTGGTGACATGGCAGAAACCAACAACCAACCTTGCGAAAATCAATATATGTATATATATACACATATCTATATATATATATATATATATATATATATGTGTGGCCTGTCCGGGCCTTCTCGGGGGGACTTTTGGCTCCTTCGGGCCGTCCTCGGGCCCTCTTGGGTCGCCGAGGCCCTCTTGAGCCGTCTTGGCGCCCTCTTGGGTCGCTGGGGCCCTCTTGGGCCGTCTTGGGGCCCTCTAGGGGCCCTCTGGGGCCCTCTTGGGGGCCTCCTGTAGCCCTCTTGGAGCTCTCTTGGAAACCTTTCGGGACCCGCAGAGGCCTCTCTTGGGCCGTCTTGGGGCTCTTTTGGGCCGTCTTGGAGCCCTCTTTGGCCGTCTTGGAGCCGTCTTTGGACCGTCTAAGAGGCCTCTTGTGCCGTCGTGGGGCGACCTTGGGGGCCTCTTGGGCCGTCGTGGGCGATGTCCAGACTAAGGAAAGGATATGCTGAAAATGCAAGTGTCTGAATGTATCCTTTTGGAGGCTTCGTGGAACGTTTCTAGGGCCTCATTGGCCGATCTTAGGCCATCTTGGGCTCTCTTTGACAGCTCTTGGGCCGTCTTGGTGCGGCCCGATGCGATTCGCTTTCACCAAGAATGATGGGGGGACCCTCAATTCATTACTTCCTAGGTTCAGGCATCCGCGGACGCCCCAAGAGGTGCAAAAAGGGCCAGAAACGCTCCAAAACCTCGCTCAACAATACAATCATCGCGCGGCCAGCGCCAAACAAGGAAGAAGCGTTTTTGTTGGCCACGGCGAGCCTCGGCCACGAACAGGTCCCCCGAGCAAGATGATCAGAGAACGGTCCGAACACTAGAGCCCCTCCTGAGCCACTGTCATTGCCCATCGAGCCCAGCTCCGAACACCTGGGCGGGGGACCTTCCGGCGTGCTTCACAGTCGCCTCCGCCGCCGCCGCCCACGTCTAGGGAAGTTCTGGTCGTCGTTGCCGCCGTGGTCGCCGCCGCCGTGGTCGCCGCCGCCGCCGCCGCCGCTGTGGCCGCGGTCGTGGTCGCCAGCGCCGTCGTGGTCGTGGCCGTGGCCGTGGCCGTGGCCGTGGTCGTCGTCGTGGTCGTGGCCGTGGTCGTCGTCGTGGTCGTGGTCACAGTCTTCGTCGTCGTCGTCGTCGTCGTCGTCGCGGTCGTGGTCGTGGTCGTCGTCGTCGCCATCGCCCTCGTCGCCACCTTCACCGTCGTTGGCACCGCCGCCGTCGTCGTGGGGCTCCTCCAGCGTGCTCTCGATCGCCTCAAGTCGGCCCTCCAGAGGTGACAGGCGGCCGTCCGCCCCAACGCAGTCCGCCCCCGCGCCGGGGTCGAGGGTCGCGTCGAGGGGCGCGCGGAGGGGCGCTCCGTCCTTCGGAGTGCGCCGTCGATGTCGGCGTCGGCGTCGGCGTCGGCGTCGGCGTCGGCATCGGCGTCGCCGTCACCGTCGCCGTCGCCGTTGTCGTCGTCGACGTCGTCGTCGGCGTCGTCGTCGTCGGCGTCGCCGTCGGCGTTGGCGTCGGCGCCGTCGATTATATTTCTCTCACAATGAGAAAGTCCGGGGGGAGAAGCGATCGAGGAAGGAGGAAGAGGGAGCGAGAGGAAGGAGGAAGAGGGAACGAGGAACGAGGAAGGAGGAACGCCGACAAGTCACGAAAGCGGTACGTAGCCTCTTGCATGATCCCTTCACTTGCTACCGTCTCTTTCTTTCCATCCCTATGCGTACCTTAATGTATTCGGCACCGTCGTCGTTGAAAACGCGGCTGGCGTCGTCGGCACCGTGGGCCATGCCATCGTCGTCACCAGGGGCCCCCTCGAGCCGTGCAAGCATCGCGACGGCAAACGTTGGGCAATTTTCTGCCTCCGGGGGCCATTGCCAGGCCCCATGACCGTCAGCAGAGGCCTGCCAGATGGGGTCGGAGTGGATGCGGTCGGCGACTCGCGCCGCATCGTCGATGCATCGCTGATAAATCGGTGATACATCGGCGACGTCGGCGATGCATCGGGGCCGTTGGCGCGGAGAAACTATCATTCCACATCGAGTCGCATCGGCGATGCGGCGCGATCCTCAAACCCCATCTACTCCGACCCCATCTGGGAGGCCTAGAGCCTGAAGTCAAAACGCGACTCAGGATGAAACGCCTGTCCCAGGGCATGAGTCGAGATCTTTGGGGGTCGGCCTTGCGAAACAAATGATAATGTCAGGGGACTGGATCGTCACGCCGCCCTTTGCGGCGCCGTCCTTGTGGTCGGCTCAGGCGTCGTCGGCGGCGACGGCTTCGTCATCGGCACGCCGCGACCGCTGTGGCCGCGAGGGCCGGACGCGGGAGGCACAATTTGGTGCCTTCAGCGTTTTTGTTTGCCCTCGGGAAGTGGGGGGGCGCCAGAAGGAGGATCGAGGGCTGTTGCTGTTGATCGGAGAGGGGGCGTGGGGGGGAGGAGCATTGAGGACGGTCAAGGCCAGGCGAGGTGAGGCGAGCGCGCGATGTCGGTCCTGTGGACCGGCCCTAGGACGGCAGCGCGGTGGGGCCGGAGCCCTCAGTGGTCGCGGAGGTGGGG